CTCCTATCCCTTGCTCATCTTGCCTCATTTCTTTCTTTATTTTTTTTTTTTAGAGAGAGAGAAATTTTTTTTTTTAATATTTATTTTTTAGTTTTCGGAGGACACAACATCTTTGTATGTGGTGCTGAGGATCGAACCCGGGCTGCACACATGCCAGGCGAGCGCGCTACCGCTTGAGCCACATCCCCAGCCCTTGCCTCATTTCTTTACTATTTCCCTTCTGTGGCCACAGCTTCACCCGCTGTAGGTCACCTTCTGGCCAGCTGCAGTGCTTGCTTTTCTCTCATTCTCTCTCTCCATAGACTGCTTTCTCTGGGAACAAGGAGGCCCCCAAATGCAAGGCTCGTTGGTTTTGGAGGCAACTGGGGCTGTGTCCTCAGCTCTGGGAGTCCCAAGGAACTGAGGCTGGAGCAGGAGCCTGGCACAGCCTCAGTGCTTCCCGCCGTGCTTCACATGGCTCCACAAAGAAGCTTCTCTGCTGTCCCAGGGCACGAGTGTCCTGCTATGTGGCCCCCAGTTTCAGCCTTTTCAGTTTGGTCCATTACAGCCTGCTACTGGCATCCCTTCTCAGACCTCCTTGGCGAGTGGCCTGCTCTGGTCTTCCTCTTCCCCTTCCCACTGGCAGTGCTTGCCTGGGCAGAGTTGGCGCTAGTGTCATGTTGAACCTCTTCAGTGACACTGTCAGTCTCAGGGCTGGTGAGCCACCATTTGAGCCCCTCCAGCAAACATTGCTGAGGACCCACCAGGTGCTGCCTTCAGTGCTGGGAACGCAGTGGAGAATGACAGGCAGGCTGCCCCTTCGCGCAGGTGCCTGTACCAGCTGTGAGTGCAAAACTGAAAAATTCCGGACGGAGGCCACAACGGGACTCTGGTGCTCTGTCTAGAGTGTGCGTGTTAGTGGTCTTCATGTCCATTTGCAGACTGCGCCCTTCACCACTGTAATTCCAGAGCCTCTCTGTGCTGTCTTGGTCACTCTGGCTACCAGAATGAGGTTTCACGGCCTGGGTGGTGTACATGACAGACATTGGATCCATATAGTTCTGGAGTGGGAGTCCACTTAGTTCCTTGTGTGCAGTGGCTGCAGAGGGAGGAAGCTGGCCCTCTGGCTTCTCTTTTCCAAGGGCTCTAATCCATCACCACCTTTGTGACCTGTTACCACTCAAAGCCTGTTTCCTAGTGCCATTACATCAGGGGTGAGGGCTGACCCACAGGAGTTCTGGTAGGGCACAGTGCCCAGTCCCACAGTCATTCCATCTTCCCTGCCTCTGACACTCACCAGTCTACTTCTGTCTGGATTTGCCTGTTCTGGATATTCCGTGTCTGTGGACTTGGCTGTATGACCTTCATGTTTGGCTTCTTTAACTTTGCATGATATTTTCAAAGATTTCCAGTTTGTCACGTGTCCATTCTTTGTTCTTTTTATATTTATTCTTTAATATTCCATTGAATGGATAGGTCACATTTTGTGTATCTATTCATCAGCTGCTTCTACTTTTTGCCTATTAAGACCAGTGCTGGGGGAACTGGGGTTGTGGCTCAGTGTAGAATGCCTGCCTAGCATGCATGAGGCACTGGGTTCGATCCTCAGCACCACATAAATATAAAATAAATGTGTGTGTGTGTGTGTGTGTGTGTGTGTGTGTGTGTGTGTATATATATATATATATTTTAAGCCAGTGTTGCTGTGAACATTCATGTACGAGATTTTGTGTGGACTGAGTTGTGTTTAGTTACACCCGCTCTGGGTGCTGTGTAGAGTTGAATCTGGAGGCTTGAGGTGAAGAGCCCAGCATCCGGCTACCCTCAGCTCCTTTGTTGTGGTGCCAGTGGTCCTGAGCCCCTCCTATCCCCTTGCTCATTTGCCCCAGGCCCTCATTTTCCCCTGGAGTCCCTCCTGCATTTACTGAGATGTGTTTTTGAGCACCTAAGGCCTATTGAATCAAGAAATTGTATGACACAGTGACCGCTGAAAGAATAGACATGTGACGCGTCATGGCGAAACTGAAATCGATGAGGGGGCTCGAGGGCTGGGGTGAGCAGCAAAGTGTGATTTCTAGAAGCAGTTTTCCCTGGAGCGGGGTGAACCTGATGGAGCCATAAGACCTTAGAGTGCTACTGGCTGTCTCTGGAGTGACAGAGATGGCCTCTTGGAGGTGGGAGAGCTCTGGGTATGACGGAGATGGCCTCTAGGAGGTGGGAGAGCTGTGGAGTGAAGAAGATATCCCTAGGAGGTGGGAGAGCTGTGGAGTGAAGGAGATGGTCCCTGGGAAGTGGGAGAGCTGTGGAGTGAAGAAGATGTCCCTAGGAGGTAAGAGAGCTGTGGAGTGAAGGAGATGGTCCCTAGGAGGTGGGAGAGCTGTGGAGTGAAGGAGATGGTCCCTGGGAGGTGAGAGAGCTGTGGAGTGAGGGAGATGGTCCGTGGGAGGTGGGAGAGCTGTGGATGAGGGAGATGGTCCCTGGGAGGTGGGAGAGCTGTGGAGTGAAGATGTCCCTAGGAGGTAAGAGAGCTGTGGAGTGAGGGAGATGGTCCCTGGGAGGTGAGAGAGCTGTGGAGTGAGGGAGATGGTCCCTGGGAGGTGAGAGAGCTGTGGAGTGAGGGAGATGGTCCCTGGGAGGTGGGAGAGCTGTGGAGTGAAGGAGATGGTCCCTAGGAGGTGGGAGAGCTGTGGAGTGAGGGAGATGNGGAGATGGTCCCTGGGAGGTGGGAGAGCTGTGGAGTGAAGGAGATGGTCCCTGGGAGGTGGGAGAACTGTGGAGTGAAGGAGATGGTCCGTGGGAGGTGAGAGAGCTGTGGAGTGAAGAAGATATCCTTAGGAGGTGAGAGAGCTGTGGAGTGAAGGAGATGGTTCCTAGGAGGTGAGAGAGCTGTGGAGTGAGGGAGATGGTCCCTGGGAGGTGGGAGAGCTGTGGAGTGAAGAAGATATCCCTAGGAGGTGAGAGAGCTGTGGTGTGAAGGAGATGATCCATAGGAGGTGGGAGAGCTGTGGAGTGAAGAAGATATCCCTAGGAGGTGAGAGAGATGTGGAGTGAAGGAGATGGTCCCTAGGAAGTGGGAGAGCTGTGGAGTGAAGGAGATGTCCCTAGGAGGTGGGAGAGCTGTGGAGTGAAGGAGATGGTCCCTAGGAGGTGGGAGAGCTGTGGAGTGAGGGAGATGGTCCCTAGGAGGTGGGA